TTTTTAGGGCTCCTCCACTGTACCTTTGCGAATTGGTGTCGCCTCATTCGTTCAATCAATAGGCGGTCTAACGGGAACATTTGGAATGTCGCTGTTAGCTGTACAAAATGGATACTCAGTTCGTGCCCACAAGTTCAGTTACATCAATGCCAGCACCATACGTGAGTGCTTAGGGCTGAATTAAGTTAAAAAAAGTTTACACCCCGGCGAATGTAGAGCTTTTCAGAACTTGGTTTTGCGGTGTTGGCGTTTATCTACGCGATTTTCCTTGTGCGTGAGACACATTTCCCGCATCCAGATGGTTATCTATACAACAATCTTGAAAGTTAGTAACAAAGTTTTCCTCTCAGGGTACATAATCTTCCAAATATGTGTGATCAATGCTTCTCTTGGATTCTATTTTTAAAATGGCAAGCGCTGATTGATTACTTTTTGAAAATCGAATGTATTTGATCTGTGACCGGCTATATTAAACTGGTAGAGAAAGCGGAAAGAGGAGAAACGGAAAAAGGAAAAAAGAGGTTGATGACGAAACTTTGTAAAAAGTCGTGTTTTAACACAGTCTAATCCTATGCGAATTACTTTTTCTGCTTTTTTAAGGTTGATAAAAATCTGTGAGATAAGTTAAGCAAATAAAGAAAAAGGTCACGCTTGATGTCACTTTAGTCAGGCAATTTTTTGAAATTCTCTGGCATTTCCTCCATTCAGATGTCCTTTTCATTTTTCTTCAGCAAATCTTTTCAGGAGAACAAGTTCGTCCCATTCCATCTTCTGAAAGTGCTGCCAGTGAACAGATCAAATCAAAACCATTTACAGTGATAGTAAAGGAAAATCTTCTTGGACTTGTAGAGGTGAATGCTGTTTCTTGATATTGCCTTTTTAAGAAAATCGCACGTTTTTCTTGCTTGCCCAAATTGTTTGTATAGGAATCCTTATGTTCTATGAAAATCACTAGTTAAAAACCAAGTTGCAGACACTAACCACAGAGATTCTTCTTTTGGACTTATGTTAGGTGTACGTTTTCCAGGTGATGACAGAAAAACGTCCGGGATGGACGAGATGCTGTCTGATTATGTCGCTACTCTTCGTTATGATGGAGTTTTTGGCATTGGGTGAGTTTTTCTCGGATTCTATTCTTCTAGTCTGCGATGATTTATTTGCGGTAGTTCGAGACATCAGGATACGGGAAATCTCTAATCGAAATTGTGTAATGAGAGTCTTTAACAGAATTTATTTTCACGAATAACAATGTACAGTAATTCATTCCCTTAAATACGGGATTTTTGAAGATGCGAATATTGCTGACCAGTTTTAATTTTTTTCAAAACTTTCAATCATTTGAAAATTCTGTAAAGAATTAAAGTGTTCCTGTCTAACCTAAAATTTCTAATTGTTCATCACTTGTTACCTTTGTTCAATGTCCCCCAAAATATTGACTTTCAATTCAGACTCATCATTGCTGTTTCTCCTCGTTAAGAGACATCCATTCTCGTGGGGTGACAAAACCTTTGGCTACTTCTCGTTAGCCCGTGGTGTGCTATTCTCCGCTGGAATGGTAATATGTATGTAATTGAAGATTTCGATTTGATACAAATCAAATGTTTATATTATTCCTTTTAGGCCCATTACTTCTAACCACTGTCCATTGGTTGGGCAAAGATAGTCTGATGATTTTGATTGGTATCGGAGCATCGGCGGCATCATTTTTTGTCCTTTCGCAAGCTACCAGTACTCTGGAGATCTTCTTGAGTAAGCATCGGGATGATTCGCTTCATTATTTTTTTTTCTTCCGAACACACTCATTGTGTTTCATCAAATGGTGAAGTGTATGCAATCCCTTCCTCCACACAGGATCTATTTCCTGTTTTTTTACATATCTACTATTAGTATATAATGTATTTGATATGGAGAAACAAGGACGTGTGAGCTGCAACTCACTTAAAACAAACATTCCTTTTCCGTGCAGGGGGAAAGGGAGAATAGAGTGAGAAGTTGCTATTGTCCATCTGTGCGCTCGCTTGTTCTATATAGGTAGCGATGCAAGTATCTCTCAGTTACTGACGTTATCGAATTGCCGCTTACTGTTTGTGCTGTCTTATAGTAATCTATTGAAAATGGGTCATTGAGGTGCCAATTCTCAATGCATTAAACAAATGACGTCTTTTAACCTTATTTCATTTTTGAATCGTCGCCTGCGCGATTTGATATTCTGGGGGTGGCGGGAAATACCTCCAACTCTGGTTTTGGAGAGACACCTTTTATACTGTAATTTTCATTTTCCTTATGTTTGAATGAATTAGGGAAGCATTTAGACAGCAATATTTAGTGCAGAATTCGAACTATCCTTCGCACTAGCTTACGATAATGCTGTAAGCACCATTTTCTTTAACCTGTATGGGTCGACGTGAAGAACTGTTGTTAATCACCACATGTCTATTGAAATGTCATTGAGTTACTATACCGTAAATCGAGTATTCGAGATTTCTCATCAATAACGAGAGATAATTATTGCCTTTTGTCCACCTAATATTTTCTTGGACGACCTTGCGAGAATATTCTGAATGGTTTCAAAAAATAGCACCTTGAAAATCCTGACTTTGCAGTTGGATCTGCAGTCTACACTATTGTTCGCACCTTTTCAAAAGAAGGTCCTACAGATGCGATTCTAATTACGCCGAAGCAACGTCAACTTAGCTGCTAATCTAATTTAAGAATTTTTGCGTGCAGTCACCCACCGCTTTAACATTAGGACGTTACATTGGAAGCTGATCAAATTAGTTAGCTTCCTGCGAAATCTCAGCTTAGTTTATGCAAATACTTGAAGGAGTCAGTAGAGCATTGAGCATCGTGTCTCAATTTGTTGTTGAAGAGCAATTGAATACCAAATTTCGACTCTTTATGCACATGTATCCTTGGACAAACAAACAGCTTGGCATCAATTTAGTTTTGACAATGTGTTAAAAATTGAAGTTTGAAGTATCGATATATCGCTAGTCTTCTAATTAGGGTGCCAAATTACAAAATATTTCCTGTGCATGTATTCGTTCTTCCCATTCCAACTTCTCTTAGACAAATACCCCTATCTTATATTCAGCATCCGGATTTGCGCTTCTCTGTGGAGGTATTGCACCTGGCTATCGTTCTTTCCTTCCACGAATGGTACCCAAAGAGCAGACCGCTAGGCTACTTACAGGTAAACATTATCTTGTAGTCAGTAAGTAATCTTTTACTGCATCATTTCAGTGTGCTCAATAATCATGGCGTTCTGTCCAATGTTCTCAACTCTCATCTTCAATTCTATCTATAATGCGACGATTGAATGGTGGCCAGGATTCGCCTTCTTCGTGGGAGGAATAATACAAGTGCTCGTTGTTATTGGTCAAGGGTTGGTTACATAAAAGCTAAAGTTTTTTTGGTTAAATCGAATTTTTCAGAGGTATTCATGTTCTCATGCGGCCGCAATGGTTGCTTGAAAAGAAACTGAAGACGCAGTTGAGATCCGACAGGGTAGCACCGGGAGACGCTTATACGGGAAATGGTGGTGAGATAAACTTCAAACATTCAATCTCAGACAGCGATTCTTACGGTTATGATGTCTATGCTCTCATTTTCAGAATCAGTCAGAACTGATCCAAGTGCCAGTAGTAATATTCATCCTGGAGCTTTAGAAGAAACAAGGCTTGGAGTTACTCGAGTTCCTGTATGAGAAAATGGATTTCGCGTTTCGTAGCTCTTATTGGCAATGTTTGAAACGGGATTCTGTGTATTCAGACAGAAATTAAACTACGGCGGAAGTTGAAAG